AATTATCATCATTATCATAATCATCACTGTCACTTTTAATATTCTCAACTATTAAAATTATTATTCTTAGCAAACTTGTAATTACTATTATCTATCCTCATTATCATTACAATTATCATATCTACAATTACAATAATTATCATCAATCATATCTATATTTACAATTATCATAAATTATATCTATATTTACAATTATCATAAATTATATCTATATTTACAATTATCATAAATCATATCTATAATTAAAATTATTATTAGTAGTTGCATCATCAATTACATCATAATTATCAATACTTGCATCATCGTCATTAACCATCGTCCTCATTGACATCGAATATCTTATCTGCACTTTCATTTTCATTACTACTCTTATTTATCTTTTTATTTTTGTTACTGTTACATCATCATTAACAAGGCCATCATTAACATTCTCATCTTCAACTTTATTATTATCATTGCTATTATTACTATCATCATCATCATTATCATTGTCTCTCTTATCATCGTAATTTTTTGATTTATCATAATCATCTTTATCATCATAAACAAGATTATGATTGTAATTATACTTACTATTATCACTGTCATTAACCATATCATCATTATCTGTTTAATCACTAAAATCATTGTTGTTATTATCATCATCCTTATTTTGATGATGATGGCAATAATTTTCTTTATATAATCATTATCATTATTATTGTCATTTCTTTACCATTACCTTTATTACTATCTTTACTACTATTATCACTACTATCGCCATCATTATCATAACTATTATTGTCATTATCACTATGATCATCATTATCATTATCACTACCATCATTATTATTATCATTGCAACCATCATCCTCTATACCATCATATTCATTATCATTATTATTATCACTATTATTATTATTGCTGTTATGTTTATTATTATTATTATTATTATTATTATTATTATTGTCATTATCGTTATTATTACTATTATTATTATTATTGTTGTTATTGCTATTACTATCAGTATCATTATTATTATCATTATTATTGTTATTATTATTATCATTATTATTATTGTTATTATTATCATTATCATTATTACAATTACTATTATTATTATCAACATCATCAGTATTATTATCATTACTACTATTATAACTATAACATTTTTATTTATTGTTATGGCTTCTACAACGATCACAATCATCATTATTGTGATTATCATCATGATCAATACTGTTATCATAATTATCATGATCATCATTATCATTACCATAATAATCATCATTACAAACAATGTGATCAGTATCATTAATAGTACCTAGTGACACGACTAATCTTACCATGATAGTGATAGTATTGACCATCAATCAAAACACATCAGTTTCCTATATATAAATAATCAGATAATTACCAAATAACCTTTGTTTATAGCCACAGCAATAACAACCCAATCAGCATGAATTCAATTGTCACTCGCAGATTGCCTAATCAATTTAATGGGAACATGTGCAAGATGGCAAGTATTTGTACGATGTGTTAGACGAGTTTGAAAGCAGGTACACAGGCCAGGTAACGGTAAATGCAATTCCACTGTGAGAGTTAAACAAATATTTGCGGCTAGTAATAATTTTCTTGTTTTCGACAGCAGGGAAAACAAATAAAAATAGGGAAAGTCTTCTTTAAATACACTTTTAGGAAAATGTGAATAAGAAAGAGTGGGAAACTAATGTATAAACCAACTGTTCTCAAACATACCTGCAACGACCAGGAGAACGAAAACCACCCACTCCAGACTCATCTTCAACACTGGCGACAAGACAAAAACCTTCCACTAACCCCAAGGTCCCAGAGTCGGGAATCCCCTTCGCCGTGACTATTTTTCCCCCGGCGCTGGAATCCGCGCGGTGACTATTATTCTCTCCGTTGTTGTTTTGGTTTCTAATATGAATTTCTAATGTTTTCTTCATTCATATACTATTGTATTCAGTGTATGATGTCGTTTACATACAAGCTCCACCATATGCGTATTTTCATATGCTTTGCAGAATAGGAAGAAAATGTATATGTAAATTCAGTCTCGATATCGGGAGGGGGAGTGGCCACCGGGAAGAGAAAGTCAGGTGAAGTTCGAGCATTTGTCAGATTACTTCGTTCGAGTTTTGATTTCCTGTACGAACAAGTGAAACTTTCGTAACTTGTCGTTTGTTTTCGGTGACATTTTATCTCTACCAAAGAATTTCCTTAATGTCAAAACAGATCACTCGATTCTAAAACGAAGCAGAGAGACACAAAGAAAAGTATTTCGTAGAAGGAATGAATGAAGGTTTGGAAATGAACCAGACACCAAATCCGTTTGGTGTACTTCTACAGTGTGACATCTGCTTTTTTATATATGGTAACTGACGTACATGTGTATTTTTAGTCTTCATAATCTTTGTTAAAAGTACTTTGGCGTAAGATATATACAACCGCATAAAAGGCCAAGAAAAGGGCACACAAAAGTCAACAATAAAAC